ATACATATTAAGTAAAAGGCAATGATTGTCAGACTGGATTAAAATAAATAAAAACAATATATGCAAACTATAAAAATACCTTAAATCCAAAAACACCAACAGGTGAAAACTGGAATGTTGTTGGAATATTTACTGTCTTCCTTGTGAATAAGGTCTCACAGTTGTAGTGGCAAAACTATTTTTCATATAAATTTCTTATGAAATTTGTTATATATTTGTTTATAATGGTGCTTATCATAACTATGGTTATTGCAGCATTATTCACTATAGCTAAGTATGGAACCAAACCAGATGCCCCTCATTAGATGAATGGATCAAGAAAATGTGATATATATTTTTTGTATATATATATTATATATATATATATATAATGGAATTCTATGCCTCCATCAGAAAGAATGGCATTGCCCAATTTGTTAGGAAATGGAAAGACTTGGAAAAAATTATATTAAGTGAAGTAAGCCAGGCCCAAAGAAACATAGGTCCTGTGGTTTCCCTTATTTGCAATAACTAGTATATGTCTAGGATAATCTTACCAGACAAGCAGAAAAAGTCAAAAGCTATGTACATTTGAACATATAAGATGATGCGAAGTGAAATGAACCCCAAAATAGAAACACAAAAATTATTATCTTTCTCACGTACTATGTAATTTTTCTGTTTCTTTAGTGTGTATTTCCCCCTATGGTATAACCCCTGTTTTCACTATATTTGATTCTGTTGCCCTGAATCTTGTATATTCATTTTTCCGATTTGGGGAGGGGAAGAGAAATAACAAAATGCTGAAACAAGGATACAGATTGACCCATTGTAACAATGAAATGTACAAGAGATTATGTGGAAAACAAACTTTACAACTTGAGGGGGGGTCACTGAGGGAATAGTTGGGGAGGGAAGTGGAAAGGGACAGTAGGGGAAAAACAAAGGAGAGGGTACAATGCTCGATAGGAAATGTACTCATTATCATACTCATATAACTGTAACCTCTCTGTACAGTATCTTGACAATAAAAATATATTAAAAATGGTGCTTCTGAGTTGTAAGGAATCTAATTTTTTCATCAATAGAAGATGAATTTTCTCAAATAGATGTGAATCTGTGAGAGAATTTATATATAAATATGAGTTAGGACTTTATTTCAAGAGGAGGTATTTAGAAACATTTTCTAGGAAGACTATAGAACATATATAATGTATGGCATATAAAATCTAACTTTATATATGAAAAACAAAATCAATTACATCATTCTCTTATATGTAAAATCTATTCTTAGTTTCCATACTGTACAAACAGTCAATGGATAAGATTCAGCCACAAAGCAATCATTCCCCAACTCCTGCAACAATGAATAGAATATTATGGTCAATATTAGTATTTAAAAATGTAGTCTGCAGTAACTGAATAGTTCATTCTAGCAGTGAGAAAACAGAGACAATAGATATAAAATTTAAATAACTTTAAAATAAAATAAACTTTAAATGTAAATAACTGATCTCTATGATTATGATGGAAGTTAAAATGTCATTGTAGCAATGAGGATTTAATTCCTAACATACTTATTGAAACCGCCATATCAGATCATTTCTTTCTTTTAGAAAGCTAAGATAGTCTTACAGTATTGACGTAAGTTAGAAAGTAGTCTTATCATGATTGCAAATGAGCAAGAAAACTTGGCTTATATTGTCTTTGGAAAAAAGAAGTTATAAATGATAACCAAACATAATAAGTACATGGTTAAGGAAGGAAAATGAATATTTAAGAAATTATAAGAAAAGCAATTATAAAATTCCCAAGATTTAACTACTGATAGCTTTTTTTTTTCCAGTCCTGGGGCCTGAACTCTGGGCCTGGGCACTGTCCCTCAGCTTTTCAACTCAAGACTAGTGTTCTACCACTTGAGCCACTGCACCACTTCCAGTTTTCTGGTGGTTTATTGGAGATAAGAGTCTCATGGATTTTCATGCCCAGACTGCCTTTGAACTGGGATCCTCCCATCTCAGCCTCCTGAGTAGCTAGGATTACAGGTGTGAGCCACCGGTGCCCAGCCTGATAGCTATTTTTAACAGGAAAGAACACAATTTCAAATCACTAATGTAAGAAATATACAGAAAAATCATTTTGTGTATAGAGTTTTAATAATCCCATATTAAGTATTAGTAAGCTCATCTTTTATTCATTAATACATTCAAATTGTCAAGCATTTATGAAAACTAAATATATGCTTGAAATATGCCAGGTATGATAGGTAGGAAAATGGTAATGGCCATCTTTTCCTATAGTAGCAATGAGAGCATGATGTGACGAGATAAAATACTTACAATCTAATATCATATAAGATAAAAATGTATAGGTCATAGTATTTTAAATGTGTATTATACAAAGAAAAGAAAGTATCAAGTATAATAGTTCTCTAATATCTTTAATATCAGTGTTAGTAGAATATATGTATAGATATATATATATACCTGTGTTTATATCTGCATGTATGTTTCTATTTATATACATATATATATAATAGGGGAAAATAATATATATGAATATATCTCTATGTAGAAAATTTAAAAATAAAATTTTAAAATAAAAAATAAAAATAACATAATCCCAATTGAAATTCATGTAGATAAAGATTTCTAAAAGGAAAATTAATATATGTATATATATTGATGTTTTACCTAGCAATATATATACATATATGATCATTTTTTCATCGATAGTTAAATCACTTTTAAGCTGGTAAATACATGTATCCCTTAATTGAATACAATAATTTAGCATGCATTGAGCAGTCATTCATGACTCTCTGTAGATATTTAATTTGGATCATGTTCAAATATTGTCCCTTTCAATGAAATAGGCTAGGTATTAAGCACCTGTTGCATCACAAACAGCACTGTGCTGCTCCTGAGCAGCTTACAGACATTAAGTACTTGCCAGTGTATAAGTAATGTGGGAAAGATACAGATGTGCTGAGAATCTAAGCTAGTCTGGGAAATGCAGTGTCACTTTTTAAAAAACATGAAGCCTACAGGATAATGAAGAGGTAGCAAGATGAATGGGTCATGGGGATGTGATGAAGACATGAGATTTCTTAACAGGAGAGAAGGCTGGAAGCATAACACATGGAAAATTCATAGAAATTAATGCTCATCCATTCAGCAAATACCTTTTCAGAACCTAATCATGTACATTTGGAGGCCCTGGAGATGCACTTTAGTAAAGGTAACAGGCAAAAGTCTCTGCTGATGAAGCATGCTTTCTAGTGAGGAATGGTTTTAGATATTAACTATGTCATGTATCAGCTCTAAGGTTATTTGCAAGCAATCAAAATCAAAGCTAGGACAAACACGGAACACCTAAATGCTGTGTAGTATGAATTGCAATTGGACAATGGAGTCAGTTCATTCAAACAATGACCAGTGAACAGAGACTCAGTGTAAGGAGGACTCAACCTATAAAAAAAGAAAAAGAAAAAAAGCATCTGGCTGGGTAAGAGCAAGTACTTCAGGCCCATGATGAGAGCCATCTGGTGCTAAGCATTTAGTAGGTAAAAGGAAATGGTAAATGAACTGAGTATTTTATACCTACTAGGGAAAGTTATTAAACCACTATTCCTCGATTCCTGTTTTAGTTACAAATGGAAATGATATTTTGGAGTGCATAAATTAAATTAAATTTGGCTACTTTTTATTTGGTTAATATTGTGCTAAAATTTGAATTACTGGTAAATGGAAGAAAACAAACTATTTAACTGTTGTATACATGTCTTTAATGTAACACTGAAATGTTAACCTTTGAATTTCCAGAATGCAAGCTCCAAATTTACATGTTATCTATAAATTGACTAATATCATTCCATTTTTGCATAAACCTAATCTTTTTAAATTATCTAGGCAATTATTTAAAACTTGCCACTCAAGTACCTTCAGTTGACTATCTAAGTAGAAAAGAGATGTATTATTGACAAATTATAAATAACTTTAGTTCATTACTATCTTCCAATTAATCAGAACTACTAATAGCTCAAATTTAGAAATTACACACCTAATGAATATTTTAGTTGGAAAAATGGCAGTGAGATTAAATATATTTATGTACTCTAAATTTCCGCATGGTTTAGAGAAATAGTTTGATGCCATAGTCTGTTTACTGATTATCTATATGATCTTAATTATTCAGGCAGTCAGAGAAGAGAGTGTTTCTGATTCACCTGTTTCATCACACTCTGTTGATATTTATGATACTGAAACATAAATCCATAGAAATTTTGCTCTGTAGAACTAGTAAGTTTGCTTAATTTATGTTAGTAGATCAATTTTTAAAATATTATAGAAACTATATCATAAAAACTATATTGATATATACTATTTAGCACACACAAGTGAAAAATAAGCTACTAACAAAAGTGTTAAAGACAAACAAAGGCCAAGTTGGGCTTTAGTCCTTGTGGTTCTCAAAGGGGCTGGGTGAGAACTGAATTGGAAATACATTATGAATGATATAATTCTGAGTCATATAATGCCATCTCCCCAAATACAGAAAATCATCTCTTAGACTTCCAGTTATAAGCATCCTGACACTTAGGTATTCTGATGTTTTCATGTTTTCATGAGTGTATGTATTTGCGTAAGAGTAAATACATAGGTATGCTTTTAGAAAAATTAGCTTAGCTAGAGATGGGAGCGTGGATCAAATAGCAAAGTATTTTCCTAGGCAAAGGCCAGAGCTCAGTCTCCAGCACTGAAAAAAACAAATTAATATTTTGCTAAAATTTCAAAATTATAATTATGAAATTTTGTTTCAAAATTATAATTTTGAATTGTTACTATGTTGAAATGATGGAATTTTTAATATTAGCATATCTATTGGTTTTACTATGTATGTGTATCACTGGACTGTGAGACTCAGTATGTACAAAGTATGTAAAATGTGTTTTAAAATATGTTGAAACAAGAAAGAACTGTAGTGATAACTAAAGAGAAATTCTCTTTCCTGTTTTGCAGCTTGCAGACCAGGATTCTACAAAGCATTTGCTGGGAACACAAAGTGTTCCAAATGCCCTCCACACAGTTTAACCTACATGGAAGCCACTTCTGTCTGTCAGTGTGAAAAGGGTTATTTCCGAGCAGAGAAAGACCCTCCTTCCATGGCATGCACTAGTAAGTCTGTTCTTTCTCTATATAGAATTCCCAATTTCAACCATTTTTGTCTTTCTATGCTAAATATTAAAAATAGATAAATGTGAAAAATCCTCTACTATCAAAGCTATTTGTTTTTATTTTTGATCTGGAAACAAAGCACTCTTTTCTCAGCATAGTTGATTTTCACAAACTCATGAGGAATGCATTTTTCCTTCAAAACATAATCTGATTTTTATGTACAGATACCACTATTCATTTGGAGCCCTGATAATTTTTCATAACTGAATCTGTGTTTAAGGAAGTATGGCCATTTAGGAATACATGATCTGTAAATCAAACTTCCATTCTTCACTTTAAGGCATAGAAATTTAGGAATAGTTTGCTGAGTTAGGGAGAACCCAGAGGAAAACTGAAATGTGCTTGAATTGATATGTAGAAAAGTTTGAGCATCTTTGATATTTGTCTTTTCTTAAATTTTAAAATTTGTGAAGTGGATGTATGGAGGGTCACAGTTACATAAGTCAGGTTATGAGTACATTTCTTTTGAACAGTGTCACACCCTCCCTCACCCTCTTCCAGGTTTTCACCTCCCAATTGTCCTTCCCCACCCCAACTTAGGTAGTTCATTTCCAACATTGTGTCTAGTGAGTATCACTACTGAATTGTTCCACCATTTCTTTATATATCACCCCACACCAGAATTAATCCCAAATGTATCAAAGACCTCAATGTAAGACCAGTTACCCTGGAAAGATTACAGGAAGGGATAAGGGAAATACTAGAGCTCCTTGGCATGGGTCAACACTTTCTAAGTAAAGATATTTGTCTTTAAATAGAGTTATTGTTTAGATTTCTTTGCACAACATCTCTCAATATCTCCCCACAGTTTTTGATTGAGATCCAAAGACTACTAGATCTAAATTCCACAGTTATTTTAGTATATATTTTAGTATATGAAACTAGAAATTTTTAATTATTTGTTGTCTTACATTTTATAAATATTGTCAACTATCCGTACACTTAAAAAGTGCAAGTGAAGATAATGAGAGAATTACTATGTAAGGCAGAAGTAAAGTGTCACCTCTTTAAGAGACTTGTTTAAAATCCTAGGGAAGATATTATAGTGAAAGTCTGCCCTTCTGGATGATTAATGGATGCCAAAATATTATTTCTCATGGGATTCCATAGATGGAAATATGGGTTGGGAATTATATCTATGTCAGATATTCTTTATAATATAAATGTTTCATTTTTAAACCTCAACTGGTATAGTTCATCAACTTAGCTAAATTATTACAGATTTTGGCTCAAACCTTTGTTTTAAGATATTTAATTCATTAATAGTTGTAATATTTTATTGTAAATGCAAAGTAATGACATTTTTTCAGAAAATTACAACCTGGCAGATTACTACTTGGAATTTTTTCTTTGGAGTACATCTTAAATTTATAAGTAAGAAGTTAGATAGTGGTATAAATTTTTGATCCCAGCATCTGGGGAGGATGAGGTAAGAAAATGATGTACTTGTGGCTGGCCTATGCTACACAGTTAGGTTGAGGCCAGTTTGAGTTAGTCAACTGCTGTGTCAGAAAACAAAACAAACACCAGGAATTAACAATAAATCTGTCAGTAGGAAAATGATGCTGAGTATTATCTCTATTTTTTAAAATATTTCCTAACAGGCAAACCTTACCATTACTTTATGTGTCTAATCTTGTTACTAGAGTAAATACTGTTCACACATTGATTAAGACTTAGAAAAGGAGAGTTGGTAGCAAAGAATCAGGTTTAGTGAAAATCTGGCACTGAAGAATACATAAAGGCCACCTCCTCACCGCTTCACCTGGGATGCTCAGTGACACAAAGGCCTTTTGTAGGGGGAAATGGAGGAGCAGGGCAGGAAGGCTAGAAATTGAACTGAGTTTTCATCATCCAGGGCTTGTGTCTCCTTTCTCCTTCTCCATAAGATGGCATTAGACCTTCACTTCCTGGGGCTCAGATGCTAGGAATGAAGCATGTATAGTCAATCAGCATTGGTCAAACAGTGGTCTGCTTGACCAGTATCTCAGTGTCGTTATGTGAGCCTTGTCTTGTGGTAAGAAAGAGGCTTCAGGCTATGGTAATTTTGACTTTTCTCACAAGAGGTTTATTGATCAGATCAGTTGTTCTGGGTCCCCAGGTGAGTGGAGGAGAGGAGGAACTCATAGAAGGAAAGTAAGAAAGGCAAGATGGAGACTTCTAGATATGACTCAGTGGGGAGAAACAGATTACTGTTAACCTGGCTGCTGAAAATCTGTTGAAAATCTTGAGAATACCTTGGTTACATTTAGTGTCTTTTGCCTTGAAAGGGACGCATATATTACCAGTTTTAGATGAACACTCCTCAGTTACTATCTCTGTATGTAGACTTGAGCACAAATGTGACCCAAAATTTAAGATAGCAAAGGAGACAGATTTCAAATGAAGGTAGAGATGCCAAGCAGCTTCTTGTGTATAGTTACTCATTGAACATCACCTCAAGTCCAGAGTCAGTGCTTTTAATGAAAGTATGATCTTATGAAACAAGGTACATGGCTAAGGTAAGATATTCAAACTTTGCTGGATCAGTGTGAGTTCTTCAGAACTCACACTGTTAGCAGAAATTTTCTTTCTTCTTTCATTTTTCTTTATAATGCTTGTTCTTGTAAATTATATGTTATAAATACTCTCTACCTTGGCTAGAGTACAGAGAAGCTAGGAAACATTTATTTCTAATATCCTTATACAATGCTATAGAGAAGGAACACTGTACCATTGTTGTTGGAGAGGAATAAAATGTTCTTTCTATGCAACATAGTTTTTACTTGTGACAGGTGACTATAGCAAGAGACAAGTTAGCACAAGGAAAACAAATCGTTATTGATACCCATCTGTGGGGGACACACAAGGTATGAGCAAAGCTCATGGTTTGAGAACAGAAAACAATACTGTTTACAAGTTTAAAAAGAAGGGTTTAGGGAAAGGCAGGAATTGGGGAGATGACCAGCCAACAAACATAAAGCCTCGTATGGATTTAGGTCAGAGCCTTCTTCATGATCAGTCCCTAGATATTCATCTCATATAATCATCTCTTCCCTCAGAAAAAAAGAAAAATGCATTTACAAATAGAAATGGCCATTTAAAACCTTGAAGAGGCAGAGATTTAGAGAATCACAGTTCAATGTGAGCCCAAGCACAAAGCTGGCAAAAGAATTCCCTGTTTCAATCAATGAGCTGGGTATAATGTCCTCTATATGATCTCAGCCATGCAGGGGTTGTATTGGGGCAGGCATATCCAGCTCACTAAGACAGAGGACACTCTAATATGCTAGGAGAGGAGGTAGCAGGTGCCATATGTAGGGGGAATCCCAGTCTAAGGCTAGCCACAGGGGAAAGCACAAGACCATAATACACTAGTGTAAAAAAATAACTGAAGCAAATAAAGATCTGAGGGCAGAGGTCAAGGGGGAAAGTGGCAGAACACCTAAATTGAATTTTCAGTGCCCTCTCCCCTCAAAAGTGGTAATGTGCTGAGAAAAGAAATTTCATTTACTTTGGAGCTTCTTCGATATCTATAATTTCTCAAAACAACCAATAGGCTAAAGACATACATATTGGAGTGGCTTATATTGGCATCACTCACTATCAGGAATCAGAAGGTTTTACTCCTAAGGAAGGGTGACATACAGAACTGTAGTTGGGTTACTACAGTTCAGCCAAGGAGTATCCTCATAGTATGCTCATATACACAGTGTACTTGTAAGTACACATATCTTCTAGATCCAGTGTAGAATGGCGAAATAGTGCTTACCAGCTACTGAGGTTAGACAGATTATTTAACCCCCCCCCTAACTTTACAGTGATAACATTTATAGTGATAACAACACAACTGTCACAATGGTTTAATATTTGAAAGCAGATGCTATAGGAATGTATTTTTTAAATCTTCCCTTACAATATATCTAGAAAGATTTTCTGATAATTTAGTATCCAACTATTAAACACTTCATGTCACTAATATGAAGGTAGGTTCCTAGTCTCACTAGTTCTATTCTACATAATGGAAAAATAATAGGCTGAAATAAGATAATTAAAACCTAGACACTAGACACTGGTGTTTCCTGCTTATAATCCTAGCTACTCAGGAGACTAAGATCTAATGACTACTGTTTGAAGCCAGTAGGAAGGCCATGAGACTCTTATCTATAAGTTACTACCAAAAAGTGGAGCACTATCCTTGAGTGGAAAAAAAAAGCTCAGAGAAGGTATCAAGGATACATGTAGGACTGGAGTATGTGTATACACACACACACACACACACACACACACACACACACACACACACACACACACACTGATTAAGTCTTGCAGCTAAAGGCCATCTGTCTGGTACAGTAATATTTTCTGAATTCTATGACTAGTCCTGAGAGACCGTAACAGTTTGTACAACATACATAAAGCAGCAAGGATGAATATTAAAGAATCATACATCCTAAAAATTAGATAAAAAAACCTACAAGTTGGGATATCATTGAAGTAGATAGAAGGGAATCTTGTTAAGTCCATCAACAAATGCAGATTTTGAGGCCAGGAATCCCAACAAGCAGTCAATTATTCCTGATTTTCATTAACTGCAAACAATAGTCAAATTTCAATAGATGAAAAATTGCAGGTTCCATATCTCTACAAAGATGTCCTTTTTTATTCTCTTCCTAACAGTGTTTTAGTTCAGCAAGAGAATTTAGAAAGAATCAATCTTATCACTTCCTAGTGTTTTTGTTAATGTTAGAAATTAAAATAAATATATTTTTAGAAGTAAGCATTATTCCCTTAGTATCAGGGACAAAGAGAGAAGTAACTAAGAATGCAGTCAAAAATCCAATGTTTGTCATACAAACTTAAGCGTGAGGGAAACGATGGGTAGTGTAGAAATGGTGAGAATGTTGAAAGGAGTGACATTGGCCAAGGTATTTTGTACTCATAAACATTTTTGTCAACTG